CACCTGACTTCTCAGACTACGACAGAGAGAGAAAGAGTTGTGACTTGAGACTTGACGACATTGGATCCAGACTGGACATTTGGGATTCAGACATTTCGACGAGGGACTATTTGGGCCTGTGCCAAGACTTGGTGTTGACGACATTCCCATCTTCCCCTCCTCTTCGTCTAACCCCTCCTTCGTCTGTGTATGGTTGGGGCTGGCGCAGTCTTCTTGTGTGAAGCGCCAGACCCACTTCACACCAGATAACGATGATGATGATGTGTGTTCAGGGCTGCATTGGAATATTGATTGTCCGGATCATTAGTATCTAAGCCTTCCGCTGTGTTATCTTGTACTTTGTATTGAGAGGTCGGTTCTTGTTCTGGTCTGCACGTTACCGTATGCAACACAGGGCCTGGCGCTGCAGTTGTCGTGGGAAGAGGCCAAAAATAGCCTGTTCCTAAAACCCTGGTTTGGTGCCTGAGTTTCAGGGCAGGCCGGTCTGATGAAAGACCGAAAATGGCCTTTCGTTTCAGGCTAAAAAGCCTACTGCCATTTTTAGTCTGAAACAACACAGGGTCTGTAGGCCCCTGTTTTTCAGGCTTTCGAGCTGAACAGACACGGGGCCTGTAGGCCCTGGTTTTCAGGCTTTCAGCCTGAGGGACGCAGGGCCTGGAAAATGGCCCTCGTGTGCAGGCGCAGCATGTAACATATGGTCCCGGTCCTAGTCTAGTCAGCAAAAGGCAGTCCCAGTCATAGTCTACCTAGCCTAGTCAGCAAGTACCAAGTGGGGCTGCACTTCCCATGGGCGAAGCAGTATAAGTAAAGAGGCAGCGCCAAGCCATTCATTCATTCGCCTGCGAGCCATGCGGAAGTGCTGCTTATGCGACCTGTGCGTTGGAGGTCTGCAGGTGCCCGATGAAGAAGAGGGAGAGCGGCCATAGCCACTGGTGGAGGAGAAAGACGGTGGCGGCCATAGCCGCCCAGTTGCTGGCGTCGACAGATAGAGTGTAGTGTGGTTGTGTGCGTGGACATTCAGGGTAGATCATATGCGTGTGTGCGTGTGTGCGTGTGCGTGAGTTGCGTGAGAGTGTCTGACGGTGGAGACAGTGAAGAAGGGGGAATTCAGGTCTCTATAACAGACCTGAGAGGAAAGGGTATAGCAAGGCAAGCTGACAGTCAATCCTCCATATAGATGGAGTAATCAATGCTGGTCAGGGGTCCTTCAGCCATACAGAAGGAAGCGTGGGTATTTAATTACGTTGTATCCTTGTTCTGATTTGCCGGTGGAATAGGAACCGGACTGATGCTCCCCAGAATGGAAAAGGAGCCAGGCCCATAAGGTCCTGTTTAAAAAAAAAAGAAAAAAAGAAGGGGGAATTCAGACCAGCGCTCAGCGGCCATAGCTGCTAGATGTGACAAGTTTACTTAAGCTGAGTTCCTGGTCTAAGGCCATATTTCTGAGTTCTCTGTGTGGGCGCAGTGCGCCATTGCAAGTTTGTTGCTGATTCTGCATTGACGAAGTTGAGTTCCCATTGGCACCTACATGTATGCATGTTGCAAGTGAAGTTGAGACAAGTCTGATTGCAAAAGAGAGAGAGAGAGAGAGAGAGAGAGAGAGAGAGAGAGAGAGAGAGAGAGAGAGAGAGAGAGAGAGGTTTCTCCCTCATCCTTGTCCTCTTCCTCGTCTCCCCCTCTCCCTCCCTTTTCTTCCTCACGAGGAATGAATGATTTGATTTGTAACCTGTTTCGTTCTAACCTGTCTGGACCAACAATGATCGCCAACTGACATTGCTGTTTCCATTTGCATGCTTTGCAGATCGTTTGACCAAGGAAAACATAAAGGAACCTTTGCAGGAGATACGCAGGGCACTGCTCGAGGCAGATGTGAGTTTTGTCTATTTTCGAGCCTTCTATGCGTTCACCACTCTCTTGGCAGCTTACTTCATAAGACATTCATATGTGCTGCTGGGGTGCCAGTTGTTCCTGATGTGGCAGTAGTGTGCCTGAACCAAGCAGTTAGGCTGGGTTATGGTAGGGTTAGTGAAGGGTCAGTAATGGGTTAGTGGTGAGAATCTCCCTCACAGCGCAGAAAGCTTTTGACTTTTTATGATCCTAAGAGGCATAGCAACTAGCTGTGCTTGCAGCTCACTTATCCAATGCGCCAAACAGTGCTGTGGTGGAACAAATATCAAAGATATACGAAAATCATGCGCAAAATAAAATAATAATAAAAAAATGAAACAAAAACTTGAAGAGAGGTTTTTCAATTTTTTGTCACATTTTTTTATTTAAAAAAAAAAGATTTGGGACACTGCCCCAGCCTAAAGTTTCTTGAAGCCTTGAAATTGCGTTTCTACTATCTAGTAACTTCTTACGCCACACTGGTAACTCCCGTGCAAATGTAGAAAGCCAAAAAAAAAACAGAAAAAAAAGACCGTTTTTTGAAGGCTTTCTGACCTCCAGCAGCAATGCATCGACTGAGTCAATAGGAGTACACAGGTGAGCCAAATCCCCCCCTCCCCCCCCCCCCCAAACCCCCCCTTTCACGTCTTTGCATTTTGCCCTCCATTTTTTTTGCGAGCGAAGCTGCAAGAGGTCATCTAGTAATCTGGGAAAAAAATTCTGGCCCATACTAACTCAAATTCCTACAGACCCCCTAACTACGAATAGCAGACCCGGGCTACCACTAGGACATACAGGCGGGAAGGCCTAATCTGTTAGACTGGTCCTATAACCTATAGCCGGGTAGGGAGAGGCCCTAGAGGCTGAAACGGAAACGATACCGGTCGGTCCAGTCAGTCCGGTCTAGGTCGAGTCTAGGCTAGAGTAGTTCTATTAATAGATTGTAGAAGTCTGTTCAGGGCTTTTTGCAGTTGGTACTGTACACATCGCGGCTGCGCAACGCGTGAACTGGTGGTGGTACAGCTTCAGCGTTGGAGGAGACAGACGTAGCCGGACCTTCGAAACGCCGGCCATAGCTGGGACCTGCGCTGTTCTCTCACAGCATGAGGGGCTGTTCAGAGGTCTGGGCTATCTGAAGTCTGCTGGGAGCAGGAGAAGTTGGTGTCCTGCTGAGCCCTCCTCAGGAGTAGGGTTTCGGCGTATTGGCACTGCAGCCATAGCTGCAGCTTGTTTCCTAAGAGATCATCTTTGGCAAGAGAGATGGCGCTGCTAAAGATCTTCATCAGAGAGGCCTGGTACTTCATCATCATCAGAGACTGTGGCGCTGGTCTTCTTCTTCATCCTCTGAGAGGCGCTTGGCCCCAAAGGCCTGTTTCAGGATGGCGCTGCCCTCTGGAGGCAGTATCTGGGTGGCACTAGTTGTTTCAGGGACTCAGGGGTAGTAATAGCGGTTACTCAGGGTTGGGGAAAGAAGCGCTGCTCATTTCTGAGCAGCGCACCATGGTTCTGAGGTTGTTCTGGCACTACGAGACTCTGAGTTTAATAAACAGTGGTGATACTGTGTGTGAACTATCTTTGCTTCGTTGTTCTCTGGATGTGATCTACTTGGCTTTCCTTTGTGACTGGTTGTGGGGATTCTGTGGAACGATTTGGACTTTCAGTGTACTCTGTCATAACACATGGCTAAGTCTTCCACTGTGTTTCTCTCTTCCTGTGCGGTGTGATACTCCCATCCCCTCCCCTTCCTTCTGCGAGGTACAGGGCCTCGATATGCCCTACAGGGCCTATTTTCAACACAGTCGGCCGCCCTAAGTGAAGGCAGGCACGACCGAGGCCTACAGGCCATTTTGGGGTCACCACGCAACTGGGGAAATTCAGGCAGTTGCGCAGCGCCAGTTGGTTGGAAGCGCCCAGGCCCAGGCTACCTTTCATTGTATGTAACTGAGGCAGGCCCTGGGCCAGATACACAACGTGGACCGAACAAAGGCTGAGGGCAGTTGGGTGCTGGTAACCACCACAGGCCCTGGGCCTGTTTACTTCGGACTGAGGCTCAGCCTCGTGGGGCCTACCGGAAGCTTCTGGGCTAGGACCCAGTACCGCATTACCGCACGCAGCAGCAGGTCACTTCGATATAGGGAAGGGCCTGCCTACACATTGGGCATTCGGGCACTGGCTGCATGCTGCGCAAGCGCTGCTGCGCTAACGCTGACCAGCGCTCACGCGCTCACGGGCGAGCTGGAAGGAGCAGGCAGCCATAGCCGAGCTGCGCTGCTGTATGCTGGATGGGACGCATGGTGGTCCTCGGGTGCATGTGGCATTTGTGAGTTGGGGAACGAGGTTGTGAGTGATACGAGAGACTTACCTGGTGCTTGAAGCGTACGACATTGGCCAAGATCTGATCGTACTTCGGGGAGCTGTTGACATCATTGGCGACATTGTAGATTAGGCTAGATAGGATCTGCCATCTGTAGTCTGGGCGCTGAGTGCCAGATAGGATGTCGACATTGGTTCTTCATTGATGATGATGAGACTATTCTAGCATTGTCAATTATGAGCTTTGCTGTGTTCTTATTTGGTGGAACTCGTGATGCAATTCTGCTATTGGTTCGAGGTCACGACTATCTGGTGTCATGTGTATGATGCTGTTTGATTTCTGACGTTCGCTATCGCTCATTTTCCTTGCAATTTGGTATCAGAGCTGTGGTACGGTGCGCTCATCTGGCGCTTGTCTTCTGCCTTTGCGGTACATGCACGCGGTCTGCTAAGAGAGCGGCTGTGGGAAGTGTGTAGTGAGGAGGGTGGACATAAGTGTGGCGACCCAGGAGGTGAGGGGTATCGCCAGGAAGGCTACGTGGTGTATATTGGGTGTTCGCAGTGTGATGAGAACTATCTGATGTGTGATTGATGTTGAGGTGGAACAGCTGTGCAATGCTGGTTGTGCCGAAGCAGCGATTGGTCATCACAAATATTCGTGGTTGGGGGCAGCTATTTTGAGGTACGTTGCACCTAACCTTATCTACCCTCTTCAACACTTCTTACCGTGAGGATGTGTGTTCTGTCTTGAGAGTCTTCTCATGTGAGGAGTTGTGTACGCTCAACCTTGAGAATCGTTAACCTTCACGTGGAGCATCTGGAAGGAGAGGGCGGTGCTATTTGAAGGGCCTTGGACGAAGCACTGAATCACGGTCACCATGCCAACCCACCGGGAGTAGAGCACACATGCTTTGCTGCTTTGTCCTTTGTCTGCTCGTTGCGCTATAGAGTGGTACTGAGGGGCAGGCCAGCCCTATGGGGAAGACGAGACCGGACGTCTATAAATAAATACCGGCGGGGACCTTCCATTGGTTGTGATCGTCGTCCTGTTTGCGACGTTAAATGATTCCTGAGGACTTCGGGGGCCGTCCATAAAAACGCCTCCTGATCAGCCAATGGGTCGGTGTAAGGCTCGCTGCATGCGAGGATAAATACGGTGCAGGGCTGGCCCGCTCAGCAGGACTTGGGGCACAGGGGTGGTCCGGATCGCTTAGGGATGCTGCCGACCAGAGACATTCATGAAGAACTGAGGGAGGGGTAGATTCCAGGTGATAAGTTCGGGCAAGATTCCATTATGCAAACAGACCCAGCAAATGATTCTATTTTTATTTTCATTAGTTAGATGTACAACCATTAACATCTCATAGACAACATAGTTTAGAACTGTTCATTGTTCATTGTGCTTTCTGTTTGCGAACTAGTCAAAGTCAAAGTAGTTCCGTTTGTAGGAATCTGAACTTACCTGTTGGACCCAAATGTATCTACTCTGACGCAGCCACTGATTAATTAGTTTAAACCACCAGTACTTGGCCCAGCTATCGTTGCCGAGCCTGGAATTCCCCTACGCGCCAATTTTTGCCGAAGGGCCAGGGTACCGTTTCAATTTTTTTTTGGCTGGCGCTTCCAGCCATTGACGTCCGGTACCCCGAACCCTGAACTTTGCGTAGCGTTAACGGCAATGGCCCGCGGCCGATGTATGGGCCAAGTACTGGTGGTTTAACTATTATAAATCGGTCTATGCACTACGCTGCGGTAAGCATCAAAGAGTGACTTAGTGCAGATTGTGTACAGTTTTGTAGCTTATGAGCGATAGGGATACCACTAGTGAGGATGGTCGGATCTTGCGATCGGCTAGACGTCCGATTGCCCACGTGGCATCAGGACCCGAGGGTGATAGTCTACTGTTCCGCCAACTTAGGGAGAGGCAGCGGCAGCAGCGGAGAGCTAGGGCAGCGGAGGCCAGCAGGGCATTCGCAAGTGACGCCGCTGCTTCAACAGCCATGGCAACCAGTGCACAACAGAGTTCCCAAGCCAGCAGTTCAGGGGCCGTAGGGTCAACGGTCGCGCAGGCCTTGAGTCAGTCCACTGGCGTCATGGCAAGCCAGCCAATAGTGTTGACTTCCGATGAGATCGCCATACAACAAGCAACACTGCATGAGGCACATCTACAAAAGGCCTTAGGAGAGATAAAGGCGGAGAAGGAAAGGATGATTAGAAGAAGAGTCTGGATGCAACGGAGACAAGTGGACGTCAGTGAGTTAGAGGGAATGGACCTGACGCACATGGATGCAGACGTGAGGACGTTGCGGACAGTCCTGCTAGGTGTTGTAGAGATGCACACGGCTCTCCTTCAGGACATCCAACAGAGTCTGGCCTTGCTGGTCGGGTGAGCGCATGCAGCACCATCGCTATCCGGGCCCGGTGCCTGGCCCGTTGTACAACCTCCTCCTTATGTCCCACCGGTGACTGGGGTATCCCCATATGTCTCCCCAACATCGGTCCAAACCATTTCCCTGGGTATGCCGTTAGCAGGACGCTTCTCAGCGGGTCCTAGTGTACATGTTCTCCCAACCTTTGTCGCAGGTTGCCGTAAGCGGGCAGCCTGCTGTCTCCCAGCCTGCACAGCCACAGGGTACACAGCCCCACCAGCAGCTAGTGCAGCAACCTGC